AGAGTGAGACCCTGTCTCTACTATAAATAGAAAGAAATTAATTGGCCAACTAATATATATAGAAAAATTAGCTGGGCATGGTGGCACATGCCTGTAGTCCCAGCTACTCAGGAGGCTGAGGCAGGAGGATTGCTTGAGCCCAGGAGTTTGAGGTTGCTGTGAGCTAAGCTGATGCCACGGCACTCACTCTAGCCTGGGCAACAAAGTGAGATTCTGTCTCAAAAAAAAAAAAAGAATATGTCCAATATCAAACACAATCATATAAGCCTTGCTTCCCCAACATCATTCCCCTAAAAGCCCTACATTCAGAACTAAGGAATGTGGTCAAAATCAAGAAAGCCAGTATGGCAAAGTGGTGGGCTCAAGTCTTAGCACTGTTATTTCTTAGGGTGACAATGGCCTTTACGTCACACCACCCTTGTGAAGAGCAAGATTATGCAGATAAAACAGCCAGGCCACAAACATGGCAAGGAGCAGATGCATAAAATGCATTTAGCTTTCTTCTCCCACCACTTGCTGTCCCTGACAGGAACAGCCTGTTCGAATTCTATGATCTTTCCTGTTTGTGTCCCTCCAAATTCACAGGGCTGTGGTTCGGATTCGGTGACAGGATGTGCAGCATGCACTCAGAAAGACCTCAGCCAGCAGCATTCCAGAATGGTAGCTTACACTGGCCACTTATTTCCCCTCTCTACGCTTCAGTTTCCCCTCAAAAAACGTAATTCATTGGCCTAGATGACCTTCCAGGACATCTTCCAGCCCTGAGCCCACTGACTTTAGGAGGCAGGAAACATGGCAATAATTCACTCCATTCCAGTTGAGGAAACTAGGGCCCAGAAAGTAAAAGCAACCTACGCAGGCAGCACACTGATTCCTGTGGTATCCTAGGCCTAGTCCTTCTTGGGTCTCCTTTCTATTCTGCTGAGGGGCACTGAGATTATGCTGCCCATTTTCAGGGAAGGAAGCTGAGGCCCAGAAGGGAAAGTGACTCAACCCACTGCCAGTTGGCTCAGGAGCAGAATCTGGACCCTGGGACTCCAGGCTCCTAGTAAAGAGGTAGGGGTGGGGCAGGATCACCTGTAGGACCACAGAGATGGTCTTCTCGCCTGCCTTGGCTGCCCGCCATTTTCGGTAAGTGTCTGCCTTGAGAAGGTTTTCTGCACAGTGGGTCTGGAAACAAGAGTGGGAAAGGAGAATTAGGGCACAGAGATGAGAGTTAGGCCTCCAGCTCTCAGATTTGTTGAAGACCTCCCAAGCCCTCTGCGATTCCCCGGATTTAAACTCCTCCGTTAATGCCCCTCAACTCTGCCTTAAATTTCCTCCCACAACACCCTCCCTGGAAGTTCACCTAAGGGCTCTCCAAGGAAGCTCCCTATGCTTCCTTTTCTCTCCGGAAGTCCACAGACGCCGAAAGTTCCCTAATTCTACACGTCTCCTAGAATTCACTTTTAGCCTTCTGGAAACTCCCCCATGACCCTCCTCAGACTTCCACGAAGAACTCCAAAAGTTCTTTTAGGCCTATTCTCATTAATTCCCATATGTCTTCCGACCTCCCCACGCTGGTCCCTCACCGAGTCCTGGCTGCTGCAGGACACGACGTGGCGGAGGCGTATCTCCGGCATTACAACGCTGTGGGCTCCTCCCGGCGGGAAGGTTGAGGAAGGGTCGGGTTTGGGGGGCGGAGAGGAGGCGCTCCCGCGCGGGCTTAAGTGCGCAAGCGCGCGAGGCTCGGGCCTTTCAAACGACGGCGCGCCGGCGCTCGCGTCGACACCGCGAAGCCCAGTCCAGGCCTCTCCGTGGAGGTGGGCGGGTAGGGCGCTGTGTTCCCTAGCAACGAGCTGTTGCTCCAGTCCGCTCTCTGAGGCCCACACTCTCTAGCCCTGCTCCTGATGACGTCCACACCTGCTTTCTGGGAGCTAGCAACAGGAGCGGCCTCCGGGATTGGTGGCTAGAAGAAATTCGCTATTCTCATTGGACGGGGCAGTCACCGCCAAACTGAAACATAGAAAGCAGGAGGACCACTAACTTGAATGATATTTTCACTGGAAGCCGGGTCCCACCGCGACAGTGGCAGCATCTCTCCCACTGGCTCCTGGGGTACACTCTTCCCCATCTCCACTACCCCGCCCACCACACACAAATATTCAGATCTCACTCAGGCTTATTTATGCTGAGGCCAAGAGAGAGTGAGTCAAGGCCCTAAGTAAAACACAAGCATGATCAACCACACACTCACACAGACAACCAGCCTAGAGTGCGTCCACAAATTGCTTCAGTTTCCCAGTATATGACTGTGGGCATCTGTGTCCTACCACGCCTGCCTCTGGCGCTGACAGGCACCCGTTTGTTCAGTCCCTCGAGACAGGGGCGGCCTTGGCGGGTCAGAGCTGGAGACAGCCCAGACACAGAAGAAGGAGTGTGAGCCAAGCACGTGAAAGAGAAGGGGAGGGAGACGAGGCGCCCAGCCCCCGCAGGACGGGCCTGGACATGCTGGGCGCTCCAGGTGGGGGCCACCACGCTGGGTGCCTCCCGGGAAGAGAAGAGAAGAGCAGAGATCCCAGGCCGCAGCTGCTCTGCCACCTGCAGGAATCACGTGAGCCCAATTGACCTGGTCTCATCTCCCCCCGCGCCCGGCCAACAAATATTTTTTGAAACACTGTTGTGTGCCCTCTGCAGTTCTGGGTGTTGGGAGACACATACAGTGGTGAATGGGACAGATACCCTTGCCCTCGAGGTGCTTACCACCTTCTAGTGGATGGTGTCTGTAGAAATGGGGAGAATAATCTTATTGGTCTCAGGTTAGGGGGGATTAGATGAGATAATCCATGTAAAGTGCTTGTCTCAGTGTTTGGCAACAGAGAATGTGTCCCCAGTGTATGGACTTTTTATTTTTGTTGCCTCCCCAGTATGACTGTTAAACCTCTGACCTTAGGCCCTCTTTTACTTTTCCTTTGCAGCTTTTATCCCACTAATAATTATACCATTTAGAAAGATTTGACCAATGTCTATCTATCCAGTCCTGTGCAAAGTAGGCACTCCATAAATAATGAGTGCGTGAATGAATGATATTACTTTATCTCTGCACCTCCATTTCTTCATCTGCAAAATGGGGTTATTAATAGCCCCTACCTCACAGGATCGGTATGAAGAATTAAGTGAAAGGATGCCTGGACAGCTTCCCGCCCAGTGCCTGGCGCGCAGTAGGTGCTCACTAAACCTGAGCTGCGATGGTCCTTTCCAGGCGCTGTCCACGCCCCGAGGCCTGGGCTCAGGCCGAAGTTGCTCCGCAGCAACCGCAGCTGACAGCCAGCAACTGGCAGAGCCCCCAGGCACGGGGGCCCTCTCCCTCCCAGGTCAGCCGGGTATGTGCACTGGAGGGGCTGGGGTGGTACCCAGAGGAGGCTGGGCTGGTGAGCAGGGCTTGAGCTGCGGCCACCAGACCATTTGGGGAATTCAGATCTGTTACCTATCTTGTTGCCCACAGAGATTTCCAGTGTGACAGCCCAGGCGGCAGAGCCGAGGGTGAGTGGCCGAGGTTCTCCTGGAGCCCCGGGTGTGGGGGCAAGAAGGAGGGAGGCCATGCCCTTGATGGGACTTCCTGGCCCTCTCCTTAATCTGATCTGGAGTGGTCACCTTGCCTGAGGATGCGTTTCCTCTCAAAGGCAGGGGACCTGTTCTCCATGAGCACATAGCCAGGTTCTAGAAGGGGGTGGGCTGTCAGTAAGTGCAGCGTCCTGCGAGGGGTTATTGTGCATTTGGTGGTTCGGGAAAGGCCGGGAGTCAGCAAAGGCATTGGGCTTGGAAGGGGCTGGAGTTGGTACAGGGGAGGAGACCGTGGGGGTCCAGGAGCTTGTTGAGGGTGTGGGAGCTGGTGAGGACTTGGGCGTTCAGTGAGGAAGCTCCTGCCTGTCCCACCCGGCAGGTCCTGGTCCCGGCTTCTCGCACCCTCATGTCAGCCCCGGCCCCGCCCGGTGGCCCGCGGAGGACAAGGTCAGGATGCGTGTGAAGCCCCAGGGCCTGGTGGTGACTTCCAGTGCCGTGTGCAGCTCTCCTGACTACCTCCGGGAGCCCAAGTACTACCCCGGCGGCCCCCCCACCCCCCGGCCCTTGCTTCCTACCAGGCCCCCGGCCAGCCCACCCGACAAGGCCTTCTCCACCCACACCTTCTCCGAGAACCCACGTCCGCCCCCACGCCGGGATCCCAGCACCCGGCGCCCACCAGTCCTTGCCAAGGGGGACGACCCGCTGCCCCCACGGGCAGCCCGCCCTGTCTCACAGGCCCGCTGCCCTACACCGGCCGGAGACGGCAGCAGCTCCCGACGCCACTGGGACAACGGGCGGGTGAACCTGCGTCCAGTGGTGCAGCTGATTGACATCATGAAGGACCTGACGCGGCTCTCCCAGGACCTGCAGCACAGCGGTGTGCACCTGGACTGTGGCGGGCTCCGGCTTAGCCGCCCGCCCGCCCCACCGCCCGGCGACCTGCAGTACAGCTTCTTCTCTTCACCCAGCCTGGCCAACAGCATCCGCAGCCCTGAGGAGCGGGCCACCCCCCATGCCAAGTCAGAGCGGCCTAGCCATCCCCTCTACGAGCCTGAGCCTGAGCCTAGGGACAGTCCCCAGCCTGGCCAAGGCCATAGTCCTGGAGCCACAGCTGCGGCCACTGGTCTGCCCCCAGAGCCTGAACCAGATGGCCCTGACTACTCAGAACTCGCTGATGCCGACATCCTCAGTGAGCTGGCCTCCCTTACTTGCCCTGAGGCCCAGCTGCTAGAGGCCCAGGCCCTCGAGCCACCATCACCTGAGCCGGAGCCTCAGCTCCTGGACTCTCAGCCCCGCTTCCTGGACCCACAGGCACTAGAGCCGCTCGGGGAAGCTTTGGAGCTGCCACCCCTGCAGCCTCTTGCTGATCCTCTGGGGCTGCCTGGCCTGGCCCTCCAGGGCCTGGATTCCCTGCCTGACTCCCTGGAGTCGCAGCTGCTTGACCCCCAGGCTCTCGACCCCCTACCCAAGTTGCTTGACGTCCCGGGTCGCCGTCTAGAGCCCCAGCAGCCCCTGGGGCACTGCCCACTGGCCGAGCCCTTGCGCCTGGACTTGTGCTCACCTCACGGCCCCCCTGGGCCCGAGGGTCACCCCAAGTACGCCTTGCGGCGCACTGATAGGCCAAAGATCCTGTGTCGCCGGCGGAAAGCTGGACGAGGGCGCAAGGCAGACGCCGGACCTGAGGGCCGCCTGCTGCCCCTGCCTATGCCCACAGGGCTGGTGGCCGCCCTGGCCGAGCCCCCACCACCGCCTCCTCCACCTCCTCCTGCCCTGCCAGGCCCAGGCCCAGTCCCAGAGCTGGGGCCAGAATCTTCCCAGACCCCAGTGGTCCCTACCCGCAAAGGAAAGTGCCGGGGCGTGAGGCGCATGGTGGTGAAGATGGCGAAGATCCCTGTGTCGCTGGGGCGGCGGAACAAGACCACGTACAAAGTGTCGTCCTTGAGCAGCAGCCTGAGCGTGGAGGGCAAGGAGCTGGGCCTGCGCGTGTCGGCAGAGCCCACCCCACTGCTGAAGATGAAGAACAATGGGCGGAACGTGGTGGTGGTCTTCCCGCCTGGTGAGATGCCCATTATTCTCAAGCGTAAGCGTGGCCGCCCTCCCAAGAACCTGCTCCTGGGTCCTGGCAAGCCCAAGGAACCAGCCGTGGTGGCAGCTGAGGTGGCCACTGTGGCAGCAGCCACCATGGCCATGCCAGAGGTGAAGAAACGACGGCGGCGGAAGCAGAAGCTGGCATCTCCCCAGCCGTCCTATGCAGCGGACGCCAATGACAGCAAGGCCGAGTACTCAGACGTCCTCGCCAAGCTGGCCTTCCTGAACCGCCAGAGCCAGTGTGCTGGACGGTGCTCGCCACCCCGCTGCTGGACACCCAGCGAGCCCGAGTCAGTGCACCAGGCCCCCGACACCCAGAGCATCTCCCACTTCCTGCACCGTGTGCAGGGCTTCCGGCGGCGTGGGGGCAAAGCAGGCGGTTTTGGTGGCCGGGGTGGGGGCCATGCAGCCAAGGCTGCCCGATGCTCCTTCAGTGACTTCTTTGAGGGCATCGGCAAGAAAAAGAAGGTGGTGGCAGTGGCAGCTGCTGGGATTGGGACTCCTGGCCTCACTGAGTTGGGGCACCCACGCAAACGGGGCCGGGGTGAGGTGGACGCTGTGACTGGGAAGCCCAAGCGCAAGAGACGGTCCCGGAAGAATGGGACTCTGTTCCCAGAGCAGGTGCCCAGTGGCCCAGGCTTTGGGGAGGTGGGCACCGAGTGGGCTGGGGACAAGGGTGGCGGCTGGGCCCCTCACCATGGGCACCCAGGCGGGCAAGCTGGCCGAAACTGTGGGTTCCAGGGGACTGAGGCCCGGGCCTTTGCCTCCGCCGGGCTGGAGAGCGGAGCCTCAGGCCGGGGCAGCTACTACGGCACAGGCACGGCCTCAGGCCAGACCGAGCTCAGCCAGGAACGCCAGAACCTCTTCACTGGCTACTTTCGCTCGCTGCTTGATTCGGATGATTCCTCCGACCTCTTGGACTTTGCCCTCTCAGCCTCTCGCCCAGAGTCCCGGAAGGCATCAGGCACCTATGCGGGGCCTCCCACCAGTGCCCTGCCTGCCCAGCGGGCCCTGGCCACCTTTCCCAGCCGAGGAGCCAAGGCCAGCCCAGTGGCAGTGGGGAGCAGTGGGGCCGGGGCAGACCCCTCCTTCCAGCCCGTCCTGCCCGCTCGCCAGACCTTCCCAGCAGGACGGGCAGCAAGCTATGGGATAACTCCAGCCACTTCAGACTGCCGGGCGGCTGAGACCTTCCCAAAGCTGGCTCCCCCGCCTTCAGCCGTGGCCCGCTCACCTACAACTCACCCGCCCGCCAACGCCTACCCTCCCCAGTATGGCGGTTACGGGGCTGGACAAAGCGTGTTCGCCCCAGCTAAGCCCTTTACTGGCCAGGACTGTGCTAACAGCAAGGACTGCAGCTTCGCCTATGGCAGTGGCAGCAGCCTCCCCGCCTCACCCAGCAGTGCCCACAGTGCTGGCTACGCCCCACCGCCTACTGGGGCCCCCTGCCTGCCACCAAGCAAGGCCTCCTTCTTCAACAGTTCTGAGGGGGCCCCCTTCTCTGGTTCAGCCCCCACACCCCTGCGCTGTGACAGCCGGGCCAGCACTGTCTCGCCCGGTGGCTACATGGTGCCCAAGGGCACCACAGCCTCTGCCACCTCCGCAGCCTCTGCCGCCTCCTCCTCCTCCTCCTCCTTCCAGCCCTCGCCTGAGAACTGTCGGCAGTTTGCGGGGGCTTCTCAGTGGCCTTTCCGGCAGGGCTATGGAGGCCTGGACTGGGCCTCAGAGGCCTTTAGTCAGCTCTACAATCCCAATTTCGACTGCCACGTCAGCGAGCCCAACGTGATCCTGGACATCTCCAACTACACACCACAGAAGGTGAAGCAGCAGACGGCCGTGTCCGAGACGTTCTCCGAGTCGTCCTCTGACAGCACCCAGTTCAATCAGCCGGTTGGTGGTGGCGGGTTCCGGCGTGCCAACAGCGAGGCCTCAAGCAGCGAGGGCCAGTCGAGTCTGTCGAGCCTGGAGAAACTGATGATGGACTGGAATGAGGCATCATCCGCCCCCGGCTACAACTGGAACCAGAGTGTGCTCTTCCAGAGCAGCTCCAAGCCGGGCCGTGGACGGCGGAAGAAGGTGGACCTGTTCGAGGCCTCCCATCTGGGCTTTCCGACATCTGCCTCAGCCGCTGCCTCAGGTTACCCATCCAAACGGAGCACCGGGCCCCGGCAGCCACGGGGTGGACGGGGTGGTGGGGCCTGCTCAGCAAAGAAGGAGCGAGGTGGTGCGGCAGCCAAAGCCAAGTTCATCCCCAAGCCACAGCCGGTCAACCCGCTGTTCCAGGACAGCCCAGACCTTGGCCTGGACTACTACAGTGGGGACAGTAGCATGTCACCATTGCCCTCACAGTCGAGGGCCTTTGGCGTGGGAGAGCGAGACCCCTGTGACTTCATGGGACCCTATTCCATGAACCCGTCCACGCCTTCTGACGGCACCTTCGGCCAAGGCTTCCACTGCGACTCGCCCAGCCTGGGTGCTCCCGAGCTCGACAGCAAGCATTTCCCACCGCTGGCCCACCCGCCCACGGTGTTTGACGCTGGCCTGCAGAAGGCATACTCACCCACCTGCTCGCCCACCCTGGGCTTCAAGGAAGAACTGCGGCCGCCGCCCACGAAGCTGGCTGCCTGCGAGCCCCTCAAGCACGGGCTCCAGGGAGCCAGCCTGGGCCATGCAGCTGCAGCCCAGGCCCACCTGAGCTGCCGGGACCTGCCTCTGGGCCAGCCCCACTACGACTCCCCCAGCTGCAAGGGCACAGCTTATTGGTACCCACCAGGCTCAGCTGCCCGCAGCCCGCCCTACGAAGGCAAGGTGGGGACCGGGCTGCTGGCTGACTTCCTGGGCAGGACGGAGGCTGCATGCCTCAGTGCCCCCCACCTGGCTAGCCCACCGGCCACGCCCAAGGCTGACAAGGAGCCACTGGAGATGGCCCGGCCACCTGGCCCACCCCGTGGCCCTGCTGCAGCTGCTGCTGGCTATGGCTGCCCACTCCTTAGTGACTTGACCCTGTCCCCTGTGCCGAGGGACTCGCTGCTGCCCCTGCAGGACACCGCCTACAGGTATCCAGGCTTTATGCCACAGGCACATCCCGGCCTGGGTGGGGGCCCCAAGAGCGGCTTCCTGGGGCCCATGGCGGAACCTCACCCTGAGGACACATTCACCGTCACCTCCCTGTAGTGCCAACTGAAGTGCCGACTGGACCGTGAGGTTTTGTTCCTGGGTGAGTCTGGGGGTGTGGGCACAGGGAACAGAGGCCTGGGTTGGGGGATGAGGACATTAGAGCTTAGGCAAGGGGAAGAGGTACAGAGAGGAGCCAGAGGCGTGTGCAGGATTTAAGGATAAGATGGAGGACAGGGATTCAGGATTAGGTGTTGTGGACAGTCTTGGGGTGGGGGGAGATGGGATGCTTGGACATTCAGGGAGTCCTGTTAATTGAAGTGGCCAGAGGACTATAGATTGGATGGGCCCACCTAGTTCAGTTTATCAAACACTTATTTCCCTCATTCATGCTAGGTCTTGGGCAGTGAGAGAACTTCCCAAGAAGGGTGGGCCTTTGCATCTCCCTATATGGGGCAGGTGAGCGGGGAGCAGGTCGGACGGTCCCCTACTCAGGGCTTATCCCGAAGACTAGCCCTGCTGGGTACCCTCCTTTCCCTGGGAGCTTCATTTATTCCCAGACGTAGCCTGGCAAGGGCCAGGCCAAGACTGCGGCCAGTGTGGCTTGGTCACACGCTCTGCAAGGGCCTTACAGACGGCCCAGAGTATCCTCTCTTGGCCTCCCTGGGTACCCCCAAAGGCCATTTCCAACATCTTTGGCCTGAGGGGCTCAGTGTGGTCAGGAGCATGTGGGGTTGGGATCACACGGTCCCTGGGAAGCTACAGCCAGTGGGTCTCTCCCCAGGCAGGATGTTTTGACCCTAGAAAAGCCAGTCCCTTTCCTGAAGCCAAATGCTTTCCCCAGAGCTCAGTTAAATATCGTTAGATATTTAGATTCTGTTTTTGTCAGGCACTGTGACCTCATTAGTTAGAGTCAGCTTTCGTATTCCGAAGATTTAGTATTTTTAAAAAGGATAATAAAAGACAGAAAATGCCCCCAAAGTGGTAAAAGAGAACAGGATTGAAGGAATCATCTTCAAGAACAACCGGCTCCAGAAATACAGTCACAACCAGCCCCACTTTTGGACAACAGATCTGTTACAAAACTGGCCCAGACACCGTAGTAGGTGGTAGGGTGGGCTGGGGGCATGTCTAAGCCCCTCACCCTTCATTTCTGTTGCCAGAAGCCTACTGGGAGTTTCTCTTCCTGGAGAAGGAACAGTAGGGGCTCCTGGAAAGCCCCATTCCTGCTCTGCAGAGGCCATCCGAGGCCAGGGTGACTCAGGGTCCTGAAGTCATGTCAGTTGAAACTTATTACCCCCTCTCCAGACCCCTGGTGCCTGAGGGTGGCCAAGGATAGCAGCGAGAGTCCAGGAGGCCTGGGGGAGGCCCATTCCCTCCTTGGCCATGAACTTGCTACATGCCCTTGACTAAGCTTTTGCCCCTCTCTGGGCCTCTATTTCCCCAACTGTTCAAGGAAATTGACTTTGATAATTTCTTAGGCTCTTGCAATTCTGCGTGACATAGATGATGGACCAGACCTTTTTTTTTTTTTTTTTTTGGCAGCATATTTTCCTTCCTAATGAAGCCAGGCCAAGATTAACATGGCCCCCCATTCCCTGTGTGTCTCACTGCACAGCAGAGCCGCAGAGCTGAAGCAGGCCAGGGAGAAGCTGCTTAGGGTTTAAAATGTCAAACTCTTGATCCTTCTCAGTGGAGGGGAGATGTCTCCTGGATAATCCAGAAATGTGAAATAATCTAAAAAACCATTCCTCCCAGGCCCCGGGTGGGAAAATGGATGGGTGTGGGGGCTGGGTGTTTGGGCAGGTCACAGCTCAGTGAAATACATAATGGAACCACCCAGTGAGGCCTGAACGCAGGAGGAACTGGGATGCCATCCAGCCCCACATTCTGGCCCTGCTCCCCACTCAGGGCTGGGAGTTAGCAGCACTGTCCTCAGACTGATGCATTCAATTGTTCCAGAGACATCTGTCCAGCACCTCCTATGTGCCAGGCTTTGGGGGCACCACAGTGAACACCACAAATGAGGTACTGGTCCTCAGGGGTCTTCCAGTTTAGAGGCAAAGACAGTAAACAGAATGACAAAGCATTTGCTAATTACAGCCATGAGAAAAGAGCCAGGAGCCAAGGAGAGCCTGCTGCAGGCTGACCTGCCCCTGAGGCTGGTGCCTGAGGGATGAGGGGCAGGAGAGCTAGGCAGGAGGTCGGAAGAGCATTCTGGGTAGAGGGAACTACAGTGTGTAAAGCCTTGAGGCAGGAAGGGGCTGAACTTTGAGGAACCGATGGGAGGGCAGGACAGCTAAGTGAGGAGTGAAGCAGGCAGGGCTGGATCATGCGGGCATTGGAAGGAGTTTGAACTTTGTTCCCAGACAAACCGGGAACCACTGCAGGGTTCTCAGCTAGAATGCCATGGGTCACCGTGAGCAGGGCAAGCACTGAAGTGAGGACACCAGCTACAGTTGTCTAGACAAGCAATGGTGGTGGCCCGGACCACCACCTGCCCTCTCTATCTAAGATGGCACACAAGCTTCCTCATCTAGGGCAATGCCCCAGTACCAGGGAATGATCAAAATCATCGTGGGTGTGAGAACAAGTTGGGGATATTGGGAAGGAGAGTGGCAAGGAAGAAGAGTTAATAGAAAGAGTCACATTGTCAACAGAGGACTTGAGCAGAGAGGACAGTGACGCACTTGTTCACAAACAGGCAGTGAACAGATTTGATGCTGGGCACCACAGAAATGGTAATTCAGCTCAGCCTCCCATCTCGAACCCTCCATGCCCATCCAATGCCAGGCACTGGGGAGACAAAGCAGACATGGCACTTGTCCTCAAGGTCAGCATCCACTGCAGAAAGCTAAAACAAGTACACAACCTGAAAACACCTGGTAGAAAGTGGCAAGTGCACAGAAACAAAGATTGTGTACCAGGCAGCTGGATGTTGTGGTCAGATGTCATCCCTCTGCCCCCTTGGTGAGAAAAGGGACACATCTGTGCTGGGCACTTTGTGTGACACTGCCTTACTGTCCCTTCACAGCAGCCTGCAAGGTGGTGTGCCCTCCCACGCCCATCAGAAAATTGGGGAAATGGGTACAGCTATGAACCTTGCCCAGGGCATCTGTAGTTAGTAAAGTGGAGCCAGGATAGGTCCCCTCCAGAGCCTGGGTGCTCTGCCATATGGCTACTTCTGTCCACTCCATGCTTCTGATTCCCCATCTTCAAATTGGCACGGGTTGAATTGGACAATCCCTGTAACTCTGGGACTGACATTTTAAATGGATTTTGAGGTTCTGTGGAAGAAGCTGCACTTGAGCTCAACTTTGAAGAATAGGCAAGATTTGGACACACAGAGACTGGGGGATGGACATGCCAATCAGAGGGAGCTATGGACAGAGGCAGGTCACATCTGCATGTGAATTAGATGAAAGCTCAGAGGAGACAGAGTGAGGAAGGTGGGACCCAACTAGTCAGAGTTGTGGCTGACCGGACAGGGAAGAGAACAGATCAAGAAAAGGGGGCCTTGGGCCCAGGCAGACACTTCCTCTGGTGCTCTAGATGCAAAGTAGAGCCAGACAGACTGGCTCCACATTGGGCCCGTGGGCTAAAGATCAGTCCTACCAGACCTACCAGATCCTTGGGGACAGGGGTGGGAGGGGGCAGAGTCCTCCAAGGTGTTCGGGAATCTCCAGTCCCTCTCCCCTCCCTACTCCTCTCAGGCCTGACCTGAGGCCAAGAGAAATGTCACAGGTCCTCCAAGGTTACACCAGCTGGGGCCTGACCAGAACAGGAAGCAGTTTCCAAGGCCACCATCCAGCCGGGGTCAGCAGGCATGCCCGGGCCTGGGCCCAGCCCCGGCTGCTCTGGGCTTTGTCTGTTCGTGTCTTGAAACCTCAAGAGGTCACTTGATCTTGCCTTTGGCTCTGAGCAAAAGGTTTCACATCAGGGCTCAGCCAGTACCACCCTGCCTCTTCTGGGTGCACACTCTTCCCCACTCTCTGAGGCCGTCCTCCCTATCTCTTGCCTCTCCTGTGTTCATGCCGGGCCTGCTTGTTCTGAGCCCTCATTTCCTGTAAATGTAATCTCCCCATGAACACGCCCTCACACTCCTCCTCTCCCATCTCCCCACGTCCTGGAGCAGGGCCCCAGAGCTGGCGAGGAGCCTGCCTGTGGATGCACGCAGCCCTCCGTGCACAACCTGGTTCCATCCCTTACCAGCTAGGTAACCCAGTGAGTCATGTCACCTGGTGAGTCACATCACCTCTCTGCATCTCTTGTGAGAATTAAATGAGATTACCGGTGAAGCCCTGAGCTCAGTCCATGGCACACAGTAAGCACGTAATCGGTGGCTAGGGACGGGTGGATAAATACCTCCCACCAATTGGGTTCCGGGGCCTCTGACCCAATCTGTGTGAGTCACACACCTCCGACCCTCGCCTCACGTGCCTTTGCTCAGGACCACGTAGCCAGCCCTCCCTCCCTGCGTCCCTCCTGGGAAGGCTCGTGTATTCTACTGCAGATTTGGGGCCTTCAAAGGAGACTTTGAAATACCACCTCGTTCTTTGCCGGAAACAAGATAAGTCATATGCCCCATCCCAAGGGACTGGATGCCCAGTGGACAACAGGACGCAGACTCAAGAGTGACTTGTGTCAGCGAGGAACTCTGTCCACGCAGTTATCCACGCCAATCCTCTCTCCCACTGCAGATAATCTGAAAGACACTTTCTTGTGACCAGTATGTTGTGATTTTTCCCCTGGCATATATGCCGTCCTTGTCAGCATAACATTTGCTGCCATAGTGCCCTGTGTGTGTGCCAGAGGTCACAGAAGGTAGGTTAATTCTGTGTTCAACACACATGAACAGGGATCTGCTCAGGCCAGGCATTACATCCAATCTAAGGGTGCCGCTAAACCAGGCAGGCAGTGCCCTGCCCTCTTGGGGCTTGCAGCCTATACGCAGGTGTTGGTTCAAAACCTCCATGTGAGGCCGGGCGCTGTGGCTCACGCCTGTAATCCTAGCTCTTGGGAGGCCGAGGCGGGCGGATTGCTCAAGGTCAGGAGTTCAAAACCAGCCTGAGCAAGAGCGAGACCCCGTCTCTACTATAAATAGAAAGAAATTAATTGGCCAACTGATATATATATAAAAAATTAGCCGGGCATGGTGGCACATGCCTGTAGTCCCAGCTACTCGGGAGGCTGAGGCAGAAGGATCACTCGAGCCCAGGAGTTTGAGGTTGCTGTGAGCTAGGCTGACGCCACGGCACTCACTCTAGCCTGGACAACAAAGCGAGACTCTGTCTCAAAAAAACAAACAAAAAAAACCTCCATGTGGGCTTCACTCTCCAGAGGAGGGATGGGAACACTCCCATGAGAATGATCAGGCACCACCTTCTTGCATCCTGTGAGCAGGGCAGGTAGCAGGACCTTCCTGGAGGTGGAAATAGGTCTTGACAAATTTGAGACTTCAGAGGCTGTGGCCCTAGCCCAGCCACCTGGGTCTCTGGCTCAACCCCACCCTAGTCCATTCTCCCCATTATGGCCGCCAAAGTGCTTGTGTTTCAGCATTTTTAGATGCATGGTATCTGGAGCCCCTAAAATATTTATTGGAGGAATTGATTAAAACACATCTGCTCCTGTGACTCCGTTGCCCAACGCTTTTGATTGCATCCTTCCCTCTCCAGCCTCCTTGCCTGCAAACTGAAGGCGACCTCCCTAGCATGGTATTCAAAGTATTCGAGGCTTCTGTCCTGGCGCCCTGCCTTTTTCAAACCCAGCCTCTCTTACTAGCCCCAAGAAGGTGGCAGTTCAGGAGGGAACTCTTGGGAGGGGGTGGTCTCTCCTGAATGAGCCCTGTGCGTTTGCTGTTCCCTGACTTGGGTGGCCCTTTCCTACTTACCATTGCCTCCCACCTGTCAGTTCCTATCTTTCACTCAGACATCACCTCCTCCAAGAAGCGTTCCAGGATCCTTCCCAGGCCCAGTTAATCTTAGCCCTGTAAGCATCCATGACAGCCCTTCCCGGGAATGTCCTCGCCACGCCATCAACCCCTTTAGGCCAGTTACTCATCTCTGTGTACCATCCTTCTCTCCCCTCCCCCAGTGCCTCTTCCTGCCCTGGACAGTTAAGGTCTTTTTTTTTTTTTAACTTGAGTAGAAGAAAAGCATGTAGAATAGGGAGAGTTGTAAGAGGAAAGGTTAAGCACTGTGGGGTGTGAGACAGTTTCACCCCTTGTCATCAGGAAATGCTCCTAAAAGTGGGGCAGGAACCAGGTGTGTAAATAAACCAATTCAAACTCTCCGGGCTAACTGGGCTTCTGGAGTTCTCCAAGGACAGCATGAGGACTCAGCAGCCCAGTCATTGACGCACAGAAAGGTAGAGCCAAGAAGGATGCTTGGGGATCAGCGCCACAGTCTCCTGCCCGAGGGTGGAGACTGTGAGACGGAGGGGGTGGGTCTAGCTTCCTCCCCAGTAAGGCCACACGAGGCTGGTGGGTGACCATGGATGTGAACCCTGTTGGTCCTACCCAGGGTGGGGAGGCAAGGGAAGTGCCCTGGGGAGGGAGTGGCTGGCAGAGCTAGAGTTTAAGGGACATCTCGTGTCAGTAGTGGACTCAGATTTTGAAAAACTTCTCTGGAGTAGGGGGAGAGCCACACACATCCACACCCTACAACCCCCCATCCCCAACTGGGAGCCTCATTGATACTTCAGTAAACCCCAGGTCTGCCCTACCTGAAGGGATTTCTGCATGTCAGATGCGATCTGAGTGCCCAGGAAGCAGTATCCTGTCCCCATCCTGGTGGCTCACAGGCCTGACTGCCTGAGACTGTTTGAAGAGTGGATCATCCTTTGGGCAGCCGTGATTTGCCACTGGCCCCTTGTCTCTGGGGCACCATCTCAGTGCCTGAAGATCTCTCCCATCACCTGTTCAACTCCCTTATTTTACTGACTAGGAACTGAAGCCCAGAGAGGGAAGGGACTTACTCTTGGTCACACAGCAAATCAGTCTCTCAGATTCTCATGTACTCTCCTTGCTTTCTGTTCTACCGCCTTGTATGACATTGAGACCCTTCTCTGGAGGGCAGAGACTGGAGAGTGGAGGTTAGACCTTCATTCATGCCCTGGCAGTTAGTGAGTGTGAATACACGTTTGCTGGTTGCTTAAATAGACGCACAAATGTGTGCCCCTTTTCGGGGAAGAGCAGCTCTCTGGACAACCTGATTTATATATGATCTGCAGCACTTTGACTCTCTGCTCGGCTGTCCCTCAGTGCTGCCGGTGCCAGGCCCTGCTGACAGGCAGGGACCACTTAATGCCCTGGCACCTCAGATGGTAAAACTGCTGGAGCGTGAGGACTCGGTGCAATGTGGCTGTGCAGTTGTTCATCACAGAGGCACTAAAGGTGAAGTCTTAGGAAGGGTGGTTGGTGTCCCGGGGGCCGGGGGCCTGCTGGCACTGGAGGAGCAGGGGTACCTACCACACACAGGTCTCTGCCCTGGAAGAGCAGGGTAGGGAATGGCCAGGGCACCATAGCTACGGTAACAGGGCAGTCTTTGGAGGCGTGCAAGACCTGAGCTGGACCAGACTTAGACCAGTGGTCACTCTGCATTCAGTCATCACATGTTCTCGGCCCCAGCATTTCCTGAGCGCTGTGCTCAGGAGTGAGTGGAAGAGCCACAGTCCCTCCTGCCAAGACCTGGTTAGGTGCCCCCAGGACTTCCTTTGACACAGCCCCTGTCCCTTTGCGTGGTAATTGCCTGGTTTGGGGTCTGCTTTGCCTCCCCCTCTGCTCTGTGAGCTTCTCAAGGGCAGGGACCAGATCTGTCTTGGTGTTTGCTTTGTCCCCATGCCCCACACCGGATTGCCTGGCACATGAACGTTTGGTTGTTTTGTGGAGTGTTGTTGAACCTAGTGAGGTCAGAGTTGTACACAGCCACAGTCGTTCTCCCTTCCCACCCCCTCCCCAAGAACCCCAGGGCTTTGAGTCCTCCTCCCCCACTCCCTACCATCCCCCAGATTCTGCCAAAGTCTCTGGCTGGCCATGTCCTGAGAGCCGGGAGGGTGGGGGAGGAGGAAGGTGAGAGGCGATGGGCGGCTTAGCAGAGGGTGAGAAAGCCTCCTGCTGCCTGGCCGCAGGCACCACGGGAATGGTTCTGGCAGGAGTAGCCTGCTGGGCTGAGATCACCATGGAGACCTGGCTTGGAGAGGGTCACTGGCAGTGGCTAAGGGCTGGGGGGCGGGGGGCGGCAGCAGGGATTTGTGCAGAGGCTCCCAGCCTGCCCCAGGCCCTTGGAGGGAGCAGGGAAGGCTGGGGTTCAGTGCCACCAGCTCGCCAAGTGGTTTGGAGCAGCCCATCTTAAATCTCCCGGTCACGTGTCACCCCAACACTTTCAGCCCAGCAGAGGTTCTTTAGCTTGGCAACTGTTCTTCAACCACCTTAAAGCTGTCCTCTGGATAGGTGCCCCTAGGCCTCCCACTCAACCAGTCACCCCAGATACCATAGTCCTGCCCCCTAAGGGACACTCTTCTTATCTCTGCAGCTGAACTGTTTACCACCTAGCTGTGGAGAGCCGACATCCACCCCAACAGCACCCCTGTCCCCAAAGCTGCTTTCTCCCTATCGCCCGTTGCAATACGGCTGTAGGCTGTCGCCGCCCAGGCACACCACTTACCCCTCCGGCTAATGTTCTGTCCTTTCCGCAACTGCAGCAGACCTGACAGCTTAACAAAGATGCAGCTCTTACCCTCCCTCCCGTGCCTCTGCCTGCCACCTGGTCTGCTACACCCGGGTGGGGTGCTGCCCCTGCCTCTGCGGGAGCCCACCTGGTTCCTCTGGCCCTTGGGGGAGTCCTGGCAAGTCCAGCCTCAGGACAAAAGTCGTCCCCAGGGCTGACTGCCCAGCAGACAGCAGCCAAGGCTGAGCAGAATTTAAATGTGGTCCTGTTGGAAAGGGAAGCCAAGAAAGTACAAGGGAGGAGAGGCTTTCTGTCGCCGCCTGGTTCACGTCGGTGTGGGGGAGGATGGATGGGCTTGCCGAGGAGTCTTAGGAGGCGGCTTTAGCACACCCACTCCTTAACTCTGGTGGACATGGTCACACAGTGTGGGGGATGTGCATCTCAGGGCTCTGAGAGGAGGACAGAACTCCAAAAGGACTAGGCTAACTGGAGGTCTTGGGAGTGACCAAGCCCAGCCCTGTCCTTTGGGTACTTTCGTGTTCACTCCAGCAGAGCTGGGAAGCCAGGTGGTCTAGCCAAGCTGGGGGTCTGGATAGGGAAGTCAAGTCCACGGGGCCCCTCCTTTCCTGTCTAGGAAAAGGAGGTATTTCCAGCCTCAAGTGTCTGGCGATTGTAGGGACTGGGGACTTGAGAGTCTCGGAGCTTCAGGAAGGCAGGGTTCAGCCAAACAGAGATGGCACTGTGTTGGGCAGTTTCTCCAGTCCTCCATTCAGACAGACTTCCTCGTCACTTCACCTCTCTGAAGAACAATGGCATTGGTGGGGACTGGGAAGAGGGCTGGACTTAGAAGAAATGAAAGGAGTAGCTCACACCTGTGCTGTGGCCCCGTCTTCCTCATTGTACCATCCCGCGGAACAGCCTAGGTTGGAGGAGCTACTAAACTCATTGTGCATGAGGAAACAGGTTTGGAGAGCCCAACTGGCACCAGGAAAATAATAACAAATAGTAATTTGTATCCTTTGTTATGCACTTATGTATCAGGCTTCATCTACCTTACACCACTGAATCCTCCTAACAAACCTGTGGGGTAGTTCTGTTATCCCCTTTGCACAGATGAGTAAACGGAAGCTCACAGAAGTTCAGTGACTTCCCAAGGTCATAGAGCTGTTCAGTGATGGCGCTGGTATTTTAACTCGGCTGTGTCTGACTCCAGAGTCCCAACTCATAACAAATGCCGCTGCCTGGAACCCTGACTCCTAACCCTCCTCCACCACTTGGTGTGGGGCTTGAACATGCCTGTTTGACAGATGGGGAAACTGAGCTAAGAGAGGGCCAGAAGCAGTCCCACAGCCCAAGTTTTCTGGGAGAAGGAATAATGCAGTTAGTGTCTCCCAGAATCCTGGCGGGAATTAGGTGGGGATCTCTCTCCTGCCCGCCCCCCATGTCAGAGCTCAGAGCGTGTTCCTGTGGCTGACCTCTGCCTCTTCTCTTGTGTTTCTTTGCAGCTTTCAGAAAACCAACGCCAAGACCCCTCCCCGCGTCCACATCGTCCTCTGGCAGGAGCGCCTGCCCCTCTGCCTCCCACCCTGACCCCCCTGCACCCCCCACAGCCCCGTCTGCCCCCACCCCTTCTTGCCCATCTCCTCCACGCAGAAGCCGAAGGTGAGCCCTTTCTGCACAAAACCAGCAATTGTAAATACTTTTTAAAAATGTACAAAACTTAAAAACAAAACACAGTTTTAGAAAAAGACAAAAAAAAGAGAGAGAGAGAGCGAGAGAGCGAGAGCGTGTGCAAGAGGTTGCGAGCGGGGCCCCAAGGTGTCCAGAGCCCCTGCAAGTATGCACTGAGAAATTTATCTACAGGTCGTTTGACAAAAATGAACAATATCCTATTTATTGTATATACTGTTTTATTATAAATCGTGGATTGTATATTGCATTCTGTAAACCTGCTGTGGTCCCGTGGTGTGCAAATTCGCATGGTGGGGGGGAGGGAGAAGAACCTCTTGCGGGAGCTTTTTTTTTTTCTTTCTTTCTTATTTTTCACTCTTTTGGGTTTTCTCTTCTGTTGTTGTTGTTGTTGTTTTCTGTTGGCAGGACACACCCAAAGATCCAAGTTTGTATTAAAAAGAAATGAAAAAAAGCAAAAAAAAAAAAAAAAACCAACCTCGTGTCTTGTGAAAGGGGGGTGAGTGAGGGTGGATGGATGGAATGGAAGGGACAGGGCTGGGTTTTGTCACCAGCCACTGGTCCCTCAAAGGAGTTGAAATACGTACATGTGTTCCCTGCCACTGAGTTCTCCCTCCTGTCTGAGGTCTGGGACACACACCCCCACTCCACGCGGGGCCCTGGGCCTCCCTGCCTCTGCTGACTCCCCACCCTGCTCCCTACATTCTGTCCCAGGTCCAGGGATTCTGCCTCTTGGACCTTCACTTTGCCCTAGATCCTGGGTCTCCCCTGACTCCGAGACCCCATATTCTGTCCCAAGTTCCAGGTCTCCCTTTTTCTGAGCCCTTTTTTATATCCCCAAATCATGAGTTTCCTGTCCCCAGGAGCCTCCATTATACACTAGTCTTGGGTCTCCTGCTACTGGACTCCCTTATTCCATCCCAAGTCCCAGGTCTCTGCCTTTAGTCCCTTTTGTCCTATGTCTCCCTGGCCTTTGGGCCCCACAGTTCTACCCCGGTTCAGGGACATCTCTCTTTGCAATGCTCATTCCAGAACCCTTGCAGGACTCTCCCCGCCCCGACTTTCCACTAGAATGGGAGTGTCCCCTGTTTGCGTGTCTCCCATTCACCCCGGGTCCTGGGCCTGCTCTGCTTCCAGGCCCCCCATTTTACTCGAGCACACTCTTATCTGCTTATACAGAACCCATGGTGTGACCAGGCCAGTCGTCCCAATGTTTTGTTCCCCTTCTCCTTCCTTCTACTCTGAACCCCAAGTGCTGGGTCTGTATTTCCTCCCAGCTTTGGCAAACTTTGAAAAGAAAACTCCTGATCCTCTGCCTATTTCTGGTGGGCCTAGAAGAGCAAAGCTGTTTCCCCCTCCCTGACTTTGGGGAGCTCTTGGCTGCCCTCACCCAAATAATGCCCACTGTGGCTCCCCTGGTCTTTAGGAAGCAATTGTTCCCATAGACCCATTTTATATTAAAGCTCTGCTGTGTGGCTTCTCCATGTCCATCCTCAGTGAACCTCGGGGAGACACCAAGGGACGGCTCCACATGGCCTTCCCTTGCCAACCAGCAAGGCCCAGGACTAGGAGAGTCAGAGGGAAACACACCCCCACCTTCTGGGCTCCGCCATCTGAAAGAAGAGGCAGGAGGACTCAGGTCACAATCCCCTAAAACTAGTCTCTGTGCTGGCTGTAAAGGCTCATCTACCCACCAAGCACCCCTTGTGTTCCCAAGACTGAGATGAAGACATCCTCCTCCTCTTCCTGTTGCTGAGAGGGAAGACATCAACACTACACTCAAGCCCACAATCTAGTACAGAGCTGGAAGTGGGGGCAGGAAGCAGTAGGACCCCCTGAGGGTCAGGGGTCCGGGCTAGAGTGCTAGGCAGAAAAGTGAGGGAGTTCTTGGAGGAGGAAAGAGCGTGTGCAAAGGCCCAGAGGTGAGAGAGTGGCAGGAGGGAAAGCCACACACAGTTCAGTCTGTTCGGAATAGACTGTGTGTGTTTAGGAATGGGAGAGGGCTTTGGCAAGGTCACTGTTGGGCAGGGTGGAGGCTGGTTGGAAGGGTGGGTGGCACTAGAGAAGCCAGTGGGTGAGGCTGGGATCTGCCAACCCAAGAGAAGCTGGCTTTCGGCCCCAAGAATCGCCTGCAGGGAGAAAATGAGTATGTTCAGCGGCTGCTGAGGAAGCAGAAGAGACGTGGGCAGGCTGTCCAGGTGGGGCAGGCTGGGCGCCTTGGCTGTGAGGGAATCAGGGTGGGGCCGGGAAGGCGGGCTGCGGGCCCAGAGGAGGTTTCAGTGAGGGCGGGGGAGCGGGGCTCCACATGAGATGGTCCTGAGAGGAGGAGGAAGGGCAGTGAAGGGCTGTGGGCCCCAGGGCTCAGGAACTGGGGCGGCAAAAGGAGACCCACAGAGGAAATGGGAGTTTGGGGAGGGAGATGGGAACCTAGGTAAGGGATGGGAGAGGCTTGGTAAGGAGAAAGGGACTCCAGGAGAGGTGCAAGGAGGGGCCTCTGCCTAGTGTCTGCTGCTTAGTAAGGGGTGCTGAGGGCCAAGTTGTATTTTGGAGACCAAACTCAGGAGGTCTGCCAGGGCCTTTGGGATGGAAGGTTCTCTATGCCCTTGGGCCTCTGAGAAAGGGCAGCAGAGATCCTGCCCAGTATATAGGGCTGGGTTGTGGGTCACCTCGTTTGGATCTGTTGTTTACAGAGGTTGAGGCCCTACCACAGCCACAGTGCACACCAAAACCAGAATGCGGAGGCAATGTGGCTACTAGATACTTCGGTTTTGCTACCATTTATTAAACGCTTCCCAGAGGTGTTTATTCTTCAAAACAATTCTTGAGGGAGACAAAGATACTCATTTCATTTGCAGATGAGAATACAGGTTCACAGACATGGAGAGAGTGACTTGGCCAAGATTACAAGGGGGCCGGGCGTGGTGGCTCACATCTGTAATCCTAGCACTCTGGGAGGCCGAGGCAGGCGGATTGCTTGAGGTCAGGAGTTTGAAACCAGCCTGAGCAAGAGCGAGACCCCCGTCTCTAATATAAATAGAAAGAAATTAATTGGCCAACTAATATATATAGAAAAAATTAGCCGGACATGGTGGTGCATGCCTGTAGTCCCAGCTACTCGGGAGGCTGAGGCAGGAGGATTGCTTGAGTTTGAAGTTGCTGTGAGCTAGGCTAACTCCACGGCACTCACTCTAGCCTGGACAACAAAGCGAGACTCTGTATCAAAAAAAAAAAAAAAAAAAAGATTACAAGGGAAGTAGCAGAAGCAGGTTGGCCCACACTCCAAGCCCTTGCTTTTTCATAACAGTTTTTGTTGTTGTTTTTGGTTTTTTTGTTTGTGTTTTTTTGAGACAGGGTCCTGCTCTGCACCCTGGCTAGAGTGCAGTGGCATCGTCATAGCTCACTGCAGCCTCCAACTCCTGGGCTCAAGCAATCTTCCTGCCTCAGCCTCCCAAGTAGCTAGGACTATAGGCACATGCCACCACACCTGACGTGTGTGTGTGTGTGTGTGTGTGTGTGTGTGTGTGTGTGTGTAGAAATGGGGTCTTGCTATTACCTAGGCCGGTCTCAAACTCCTGAGCTCAAGCAATCCTCCTGCCTCAACCTCCCAAAGTTCTAGAATTACAGGTGTGAGACACTGCGACCGGCCTCATAACAGTTTTTGGGTTTGTTTGTTTGTTTGTTTGTTTGAGACAAAGTCTCACTCTGTTACCCAGACTAGAGTGCCATGGCGTCAGCCTAGCTCACAGCAACCTCTAACTCCTGGGCTCAAGTGATCGTTCTGCCTCAGCCTCCCTAGTAGCTGGGACCACAGACATGTGCCACCATGCCTAAGTTTTTCTATATATTTTTAGTTGTCTAGACAGGGTCTCGCTCTTGCTCAGGTTGGCCTCGAACTCCTGAGCTCAAACAATCCACCTGCCTCAGCCTCCCAGAGTGCTAGAATTACAGGTGTGAGCCACCGTACTTGGCCCTCATTACAGTTTTAAGGGGGAAAAAATCTACTTATGAAATCCAAAAATTAAGCCATCCGATTTTAAAAAATTATAAATGATAGAAATAATAGCAAAAACTTACAGCACTTACCATATACCAGCTGTTCTATACACTTTGCATATATATCTCAGTAACAATCCTGTGAGGCTTCATCCTAGAGATTATTATCCCCATTTTACAGATGGGAAACTCAAGTGCAGAGAGGGAATTTACAAAGACTACTCAGTGCGTAAACAGTGACACCAGAGCCCAACAAAGCACTCTGGTTCAGGAGTCTCTCTGCTCCCATCCCTGCTAATGACTCCCAGGTCAACATTTTCGAGTCTATGCGTCTAGATCAGGGATTCTAGACCCCAGAAAGCAATCACCTGAAAAGCTTCAAAATACTGATGCCTGAGTCCTACCCCAAGAGATTCTGATTTTATTGGTCTGAGGTGGGGCTGGGCGTCAGGATTTTTAAAAGCTCCTCAGGTGGTTCTGATGTGCAGCCAAAGTAGAGAACCTCTAATTCAGCAATTGTGCTGTTTGCACACCTATAGTTAAGGTGCTGCCCTAGGTGTGCATATGATGCCTTCTTGTGTGTATACACTGTGGTATTCATTAGTGTTTTTCACTCCAAGTGGCTATGAATTACTATGGGTTCTCTGAGAGACCCCGAGTGAACACATTCATTCAGATATATTTCTTAAGCACCTACAAGTTTCCATTGTCCCAGGCACTTGGGGATACAATAGTGAACAAGGCAGACAGATTCCCACCTTTGAGTATACAGGCAGATGCAATGGACAGATTTGGTCATGTGTCTTCCCCTGTGAGTGGCAGGGGTCTGCGCTTAGGAGGGAATGAAGGTTGCCTGGCAGAGCTTAGGACCGTGAGAGATTTGCTGGTGTGGCTGTACATACTGCGTCTTCAGGCCCTTTGTGTGGATGTGATTGAGAGAGGGAGGCCCAGGGCATGTTTCTGGGTTTGAATGAGTGTGGCTGACTGTGTGGCATGTGTGTAAAGGTGTGCATGATCCAGGCCTGTGACATGTGGACAATGGTGGGAGGAAGGGATGTTGTGAAGGAGGAGGGCTGTGTGCAAGGTAGACACCAGCCCAAAACATCACACAGATGTGTCACATGCACTCACACACATACACACAGGGCCAGCTGTGAGGAGGCTGGGTTCCAGTCCCAGGGCCGGGAAAACTGTGCCGTGGGTATGTGGGGGAGGCACAGCTGGGGCTGGAAACTCTAGAGTGGGAGGGAGGGAGAGAGGAAGGGAGGCCAGGGAGCCACATCCTTGATCTCTGTTCTGTTTCAGCAGTTCCGGACTTGGTGCTCTGGGTCTTGGTGTGACTGAGCCTCCCTCTCTCTAATGTCCGGATCTTGGCATCTCTATTTCTCTCTTCTGGGTCTTGGGCTTTGAGGCTGATCACATGACTCTGGATCGCCACCTCTCCAGCCTACTTGGTTCTGTATCTCCCTCCAAGTCTCTG